TGAGCCCTGCCCATGGTCTTCTTTGGGGTGAATGATGGTGTTTGAGCGCTGCCTGTGGCTTCCCTAGGGGTGAGTGATGGTGTCTCAGCCCAACATCTTTCAGGTCCCCAGCCCTGGACTTGGCCATGCTGGAAGCAGAGTTGGACAGAGGACAGAAGGAGGAGACCATGGTGCAGGACAAGGGAGAGATCCCAAAGGGAGTCCCCCCAAAACTATAGTAAGACCTCCCTACAACCCCCCCCCCCCATAGCTGAACACTAGAGAAGGGGGTATGGATGGCTATTTGAAAACAAATGCATGACTATGCATATGTTGAAATCTTTTTTTTGAACCTGTCCACTAAAGTTTGCCTTTAACACGCAAAGTGTCTTTTTTTTTTATTTGATTTTTTTGAAGTTTATTATTATATGTAATCCTAAATGATTGCTCATTCAAATTGTTAATGGGAGCTGCAACTAGCTTACCCACCATGGCAAACTTCTCCAAACATGGATTTCTAAGACTAAGGGCTAAACCAAACCATCAGCTCTGACTGCACGTGSAGTCCCAGGCGCTCGCAGCGAGGTAGAGGGAGGGTTGAAGTTCACAGTAGAGGCTGTGCATGGCTGGCACTGCCAAGTGTCTCCAGCCAGTGCTGTCCAAGAGGTGTCCAGGCAGGGATCCATCCCTAGAGGCCTGTGTGCTCCTGGATCCAGTCTCGCAGGCTTGTGAGCCGGCTGTACACMCCAGGTTTGTTCCTCTGGGCACAACCATCACCCCAGCTCACCACACCAGCCAGGAACATCCGACTGCTGGGCTCCACACTGACCAGGGGCCCCCCGGAGTCTCCCTGCACAGAACCACACAGGAGCGTAAGTACCAACCCCATACATCACCCTTGTGCACAGTATGAAAGTCAATCACAAAAACTGAGCAAGAAATAATCAATCAGTAAATCCCCGTCTCAAAAACTATTCTAAGTCAGCTGTCATTACAATTTTTTGGCCATTCCCTGAAATAAATATTTAAGTATGGCAGTAAGAGCCACAGTGCCAGAACAAAGAGCTGTAAAATACCAGTCAAGCAGCTGGGCT